TGGAGGCGCATGAGATGAGAATTATTGAAAGAAAAAGAGTGCAAGACTCGATACAGGCTCTGCAAGCTCAGTCGTGGAAAAAGAATGATGGTTCCAACAAATTCAAAGGCAAGTTCAACAAGACTCAGGGCAAGAAGCCTTAGTCGAAACCTCACAAACATCAGGTCGAAGATGGAGCTTCTGAATCCTCGAAAGGAGGAGAAGGAAACTATCGAAAGGGAAAAGAATATAAAAAGGGTGTGTAGTGCTATAACTATGAAAAGTGGGTCACGTAGCCAAGAATTGTTGGTAAAGACAATACAATGGATCGACAAGCAAGGACGAAGGAGTGTACCTTGCACACCAAGATTCAAATGATTCTGAAGGTGGTATGGTGGTTATGGTTGCAGTTGCAAATAACTATGTCGAATCCAAAATCTGGTTTCTCGCTCAGGATGCTCGAATCACATGACTAGTCAAATGAGTGGTTGAAAGATTTTGACGAGTCGAAGAAGAGCAAGGTAAAACTTGCTGATAATAGTTCATTACAAGCAAAAGGTACTGGCAATAAGTCTTTCAAATGAGTAATGGAGAGAAATCTATGATCAAATATGTGCTTTTTGTACCTGGAATAAAGTGCAACTTGCTAAGTGTTATACAACTAATCGAAAAAGGTTTCTCATCTATCATGAAATATGGAGTTTTGGAATTGTTCGACACCAAGAACAATTTGGTCTTAAAATCTCTGTTGTCGAAGAACATGACATTTAAGACTATGATCAGTTCGACTGAAGTTCAATGTTTGAAAATTGTTATTGATCATAATGTCGATGAAGAAACTGATGAAGTAGAGGTCGAAGGAATTATTGAGAATCCAGTAGAAGTCAAAGAGAAGCAGTTGCTGAAATTCCCGACACAGTCGAAGTCAAAGAGGCTGTGGCTGAAATAAGCCAAAGACTTCAAAGAAATAGAGTTCTTCCAACAAGACTTCATGATTATAAAGTGGTGGGTGATGATGAAGTCGCACTAGATGGAGAATTAGTTCATAGAGAAGCTTTGAAGACTAAATAATGGAAGTTAACTATGGTCGAAGAGTTATAAGCAATCGAAAGAAACAACACATGGGAGTTAGTCGAATTGTCAGCACATACAAAAGCTATCGAAGTAAAGTGGGTATTCAAGTTGAAACATAATGCTGATGGCTCGATAGCAAGACATAAAGCAATATTAGTAGCTCGAGGGATTCTTCAAAGAGAAGGACTCGACTACTCTGAAGTATTTGCTCTAGTAGCAATATTGGAGACTGTTCAACAAGTGGTAGCATTGGCATGCAACCAAGGTTGGTCAACATTTCATTTAGATGTGAAATCAGCATTTCTGAATGATCCTTTAGATGAAGAGGTCTATGTAACACAACCTCCAGGGTTTTTGATTCAGAAGGAAGAAATTAAAGTATATAGGTTGCACAAAGAGCTCTATGGCCTCAAGTAGCCACCTAGGGCATGGAACAAGAAGATCGACTCATACTTAGTTGAATTAGAATTTGTCAAATATAAATCTGAGTATGGTGTCTATGTTTAGGTTGTAGCATAAGATAACAATCGTCTGCTTATATGTTGATGACTTTCTAGTAACTGGAAATAGCTTGGAGAACTTGTTGAAGTTTCAAAGAGCTGAGGATGAAGGAATTTGAAATGTATGATCTGAGAAAATTGTCTTATTTCTTAGGCATGAAATTTCAAATGTCGAAGCAAGGTATAATGCTACATCAAAGGAAGTATATCAAAGAAATACTCAAGAGATTCATAATGGATGATTCGAATCCTGCATCCTCACCTGTTGAACCAAATGTAAAATTGAAGAAGAATGGAGAGGAAGACAAAGTCGATGTAACTTTGTTCAAGCAAATTGTGGGATCTCTGAGGTATGTGTGCAACATTTGACCTGATATAGGTTTCGCTTTAGGTTTAATAAGTAGATATATGAGTGAACTAAGAGTGTCACATATGAAGGCTGCAAGAAAAATCCTGAGATATTTGAAGAATTTGATAAACTGTGGAATACTATTTCGACGAAATTCTGAAGACAAAGAAGCAATAGTTAATTTTTTTCAGATGTTGATTGGTGTGGAGATAAGGAAGATCGAAGAAGCACAATTGAATATTTCTTTCAAGTATTTGGTGCCCTAATCTCATGGTGTTCGAATAAACAACCTATGATGGCATTATCATCTTGTGAAGCTGAATATATAGCAGAATTTTATGTTGCATGTCAAGCAATTTAGATTAAATTTGTACTTGAAGAAGTGAAGGTTGAAGTGAAGAAACATCTTATATTGCAAATCGACAACAAGTCAGCCATAAATCTGGCGAAGAATCCAATTTTGCATAGAAGAAGTAAACACATTGAAGCAAGGTTTCACTTCTTGTGGGAAAAGGTAAATCAAGGTGAACTTAAAGTAAGGCATTGCTCGAGTGAAGCACAGTTGGCCGACATTTTCACCAAAGGATTGAAGATTGACAAATTCCTGAATTTGAGAAAGAAATTAGGAATAGTTCAAATTGACTATTTTTTAGTATGTTCGACAACTTGGATTATGGGGGTGTGTTGAAATATTAAATTAGATTTATTAAAATATTAGATTTGATTAGATTTAGTATTTAAATATAATCGAAGTTGTGTAGACCAGAACCTAATTAGGGTTGTATATAAATAGTCATAGTTTGTATCATTATTTATACAACTCAATTATACAAATTCTTATTTCCTTTATTATTCTCTATTTCTCTCCTCACTAAAGTGTCTCACGCACTAACAAATACTTGATAATATATAAGTGAGAGAACTCACTCACATATCACCTTAAGGTTTTAGGTGAATAAGTGATGTGTCTCTCACAAAGATGCTTAGTCATACACTATATATCAATACTCCTAGTAACTTCCTCCAACAAAATGGTATCAGAGCCTTTGGTTCGAGAAAGGGACCCGAAGAAACTTGTATCGAAATACGCCCAGAAAGTGGTGTCCTGTTACAAGATGTCAACGACGGTACAAGTGGAGGAGCATTGTGGACTCACACTTGAAGGGAGTGTTTGAATAATATAGCAAGTGTGAATAAGTGGAAAAATAGTCTCACATTGAATAGAAATGTGAAGACTTTATAATATATAATTGAGTGAACATACTCACATATTACCTTAAAATTTTAGGTGGATAAGTGGTGTGTCTTTCACATAGATGCTTAGTTCTACATTATATATCAATACTCTTAGTAACTCCACCCAACATTTATGTCCATAAAGATTTATTTATAAAAAGGTATATGACAAATTAAAATGATTTGGAATTTAATTATTAATCCTAATGATATAGTGCATGTTCTCATTAATAAGTATGTCATAAATCAAAATTTGTTTGAGAATATAATTTTAAGTCGGATGATTCTCCGTTATGGAAATCTTTAGCAAATATTGGGAACAAAATTTTAGAAAAACATATTACTTTGAAGTTTGGAAATGAAACGAGGGTCAACTTTTTTGCTTTATCGTTGGATTTCAACAAAACAATATTTCTTCTTCAATTTGGTTCAAACTAATTTAATTTTGGATATTACCTAACAGTTAAAGAAGAAAAGTGGAACCTTGATTTGTTTTAAAACTGGTTCACGACTGATATGGTTAATCGAATTTTTGCTACTCCTCCTCTTCTTAAGATGGTGTGAAAAAGTTGGGATATAGTGGTAATATAAATAATGAACTTTTTGTTAGTAGTGCTTGCTTACAAATATATTTTGTCATCTCCATGTGTTAGTACTATTAATATCGATTGAAATATCATTGAAAGAGGAAATGTCGCCATGGAATCTAGAGGTTCACTTGACTTATGGCACATTAGAGACGGTTGACAAACTATAGGCGCCACAAGTGAAACCAAGCAATCCATGCTAACTGCAACTGGTGTACGGACACTAAATAGTCTTGATTCATGTGTTGCGGGATCACCCTTATGAAACTCAGGTATGGATTAGACTTGTTACTTCTAATTAATTGACTCAACTTTACTCTATTTCTTGCAGAGATTGGATTTCTTACAATCTCAAAGAGGATACTGTAGATTTTGACAAAGTACACTAGAGGTCTATATGTATGATATCTGGTTGGTACTTCTAGAAGCGAAAAAACAAATCTATTTTGAATAGGGCTTTTAGTGTTCTCACAATCCAACATAAACAATCATGCAATTGATAAAAGAGATCGAGAATGACAACCATGTGCAAAACAGTGGTGGGTTAATGCGACTGGAGATAGTACAGGTTTGTTGATATAGCTCTACTTCATTGTTGGATGTAGGTGCTTATTTAAAGACTCGTTATGAAATATGTGAGGAGATATGCACGAAAAATTGATTTATGTGAAACATTCACAGCTAGGATGTGTGCAATGTTGTATGGGCTGAAGCTAGTTTGACAAAAGAGAATTACAACTCTAATGGTCAAGAGTAACTCTAAAGTTTTGATTGATACGGTTACTTAAGAAATTAGGGAGTATCACAGTTTACCAACAATAGCCCGTAGAATCAAAAAATGACAAAAAAATTTGGAACATCAAGTTCAACCATACATAGTAGAAAAGGAAATCATTGTGTAGATTGACTATCTAATTATACTCTTACTCAGAACAACGGTAAAGTCTTCATTCTTCCAACACGAATTATTTGAAAATCCGGATCTTGTGTCTTGGTTGATGATAATAGTGAAGGTATTGTGCCCTAGACTTTTATAGTTTCTTGTTAGCTATCATAAAAATATCAAACTTCATTCCATTAGATCAAAACTTTAAAATTGTGAAAAACAAAATACTATGTTATATACATACTTCCTGAGATCATGATTTATGAAAAGCAATAAGCCAAACTAAACAAAAACAAAAGCCTCACAAATATGAGAGCATAACCAGCCTACTACTAACATATTCACATTCACACGATTAATCATTCTCTATAATAAAATTCTAGTAACCATCAATCTGTTTCATGATCCGGTGCTTCAGAATACCATGCAGGTGACTTTCCCATGGATCTAAGAAGCTTAGTATACGACGAATCAGGCATTCTTGCTTTCTCTTCTTCCATCATTTCATCAGCAGATTTTGGTAATCCATCTGGTCTAGGACAAAGATTTTGTTCATCTTTTGATTCTATTTCCATCGCCAATTTTAATCCATCCTTCTTCAATTTATGCATTAGCGCAATTCCATGTATACATCCTATCAACGATTTCACACCACCAATCTCAATAATTAACCTCTCTATATCCGCTCTCGGTGACTCCTTCTGTAAAACATTAAATCTTTCAATGATTTGCATATCAAAATCAAATCAACAATAAATTTTGATGAACAAAACAATAAAACATACTTCAAGATCTTTGAGCTCGAAATAAGCCTGCCAGCAACTATAACATTCATCACCATCAAGTGTAGAACAATAATCTGTGAAACAAAATTAAAACTATAAATTCAAAATCAAATCAAACGATGAAAAGAAACATGAAAATAAGTGTAACGTAACGCGTACCAGAGAGATCTTTCTCGGATTTTTCAATCAGAGGAAGGTTTTTTGCGACTCTGTCGATTTTGGATCGGCTAAATGGTTCCAGTTTAGGGATGTAAGATTGGTTTCTAGATGAAGAACAAATAATGGTTCGGTTGCGATGAAAAATCAAAGGAGAAGAAGGATGAAGTAGTGCCGATGAATTCATTGTTCTGAAAGGGTTATTTTTTCAGCGAGAAACAAAGATGTATAAATACTCCGAAATTCTGTGGGAGGGTTTCTCTATTTGGATAAGGACGATATTTTCAAGATATTTTTTATATTATTGACAAAGCATCATGCAGTTACTAAAAAAATATTATTATCCAATTTTCGCTTCTTTTTTCAAACCACTTAATTTGAGCACATAGATATTATTTAAACACTAAACCGTGATGTATCTTTACACTCTTCCGTTTGGATATATATATAATTTTGATGTATAAAGTTGTTTTACATATATTAAAAATAAATTAATATAATTCAATTAAAATTTAATTTATTTTAAATCAAATAATATTTTGAATTAAAATTCACATTACATATTTTTCATTATCAATTTTTAAGTATTTATTCATATTTATAATAAATCGTACACTCATTTTTATAACTTCAATTGTATATAACAATAATAAAAGAAATAATTAAAAAATAGATATTAAAATGATTAGTTTACGTTCACATATACATGTGAATCCTGATGAGTTAACAGATCTCAGTTGAATCCAAATGAGTTAATTCTAAAAACTTATCAAATTTCATTTTTAAAACTTTTTTTATTCTATCATATTTATATTTTTTTTACAACCTACAATGCAATGCATGATAGCTTATCATCAAATTTCAATTTTAAAATATTTTTATTAGATCATATTTACAAATTTTACAAATCTAAAATGTATGACAGTGTTGTTAAATTGTAATTCATATGTGCCAAAAGAAGATTTGATTTGTTTAGATTTAAATAGATTTAAATTTAAATCTAAATTAGATTTGATTTAGTAAAGAGATATTTTGGGCTTGGGTTTAGCTTAGGGAGCAAGCTAACCTAAATCTATAAATAGAGGGAGTAACCCATATTTTGTAATTAAGTCATTCACAGTATTTTGCCGTTGCAAAGTGAATTAATAAAGATTCCACAGTTTGTGGGCAGAAGAGAAATTCTGCAGAAATATTTCTAGTGTTCTTTTTATTTGTTTGTCATAACTAATCATCAGTGGTGGTCGAAATTCATCATAAAGTATTGGTGGATTTCCAACATCTGGTATCAAGAGCTTGTGTTACGATTCAAGGGAAGTGTCAATCAAGAACGATTGAAGAATTCACGATGACAAGTTATGGGAATGCAAACTATCCAGCAACGCTGCCAATTCTGAAAGTTGACAACTATGAGAATTGGTGCAAACATATGAAAGTCCTATTAAGGTGTCAAGGCCTTTGGGACCTTGTAAAAGATGGAGTCGAAGCGCTTGGCGAAAATGCTTCAGAAGAAGAAAAGAAGAAATACACAGAATCTGAGAAACAGAGTTATAAAGCATTGTTTATAATTCATCAATGTGTCAGCCCAGACAACTTCGAAAAGATTAGTGATTCAGAATCTGCAAAAGAAGCCTGGGAGATCCTGGAGAAATCTTTTGGAGGCGCTGAGAAGGTGAAAGAAGTGAGGTTACAAACTCACAAAAGGACCTATGAACTGCTTCAGATGGAAGACAGTGAAAACATATATGATTTCTTCACTAGAGTTACAAAACTAGTGAATTAAATCAAGACATGTGGAGAAACATTAACAACAAGAGCTGTTGTTTCGAAGATCCTGAGATCCTTAGCTCCTAAGTTCGACCACATAGTGGTGGCGATCGAAGAAGGGAAAGACTTGTCGAAATTGACAAAGGAAGAGCTTCAAGGGACGCTCGAATCTCATGAACAAAGAATGAACGAAAGAGCTACAGGAAAATCAAAGAGTGATATGGCCTTGCAGGCACATTCAGCAAAAGAGACCAAAGGCAAAGGAAAGTATTTCGACAGAAGTAGAGGTGGCTACAACAAATCGAATGGTAGAGGAAACCAAATCGAAGGAGACGTGTCGAATCAAAGAAGACCACACCAAGGCAACCAAAGAGGTGGTGCTGCAAATAGAGGAAGAGGTGGTGGTCGAAAACCTGATAAGAGTCACATTCAATGTTACAATTATCAGAAGTATGGTCACTATTCGAGTGATTGTCCAGAAAAACGAAAAAATCAAGAAAGTGATGCAAAGCTGGCAAAACATGAAGAAGAAGAAGAAGAGATGATGCTAATGGTCACAACAAGAGATGAAGATAGATTCAAGGACCAATGGTACTTGGATTCAGGATGTTCATCACATATGTCTGGAAGGAAAGACTGGTTCGTCAATATAAAACCCTCAACGAAAAATATGGTAAAATTTGCAAATGACAACACCCTAGCAGCTGAAGGTATTAGTAATGTTATGATCATGAGGAAAGATGGCAAGAAGTCAGTAATTTCGAATGTATTGTACATACCAGGCATGAAAAGCAATTTGCTCAGTATAGGGCAGTTGGTCGAAAAGAATTATAAAGTGTCAATCGAAGATAAGTTGATGAGAGTTGTTGATGCAAATGGGAGAGTAATCTTGAAGGCTCCTATGTCTCAGAATCGAACCTTCAAGATTGAACTAAATGTGATGGAGCACAAGTGCCTTTCGACTGCAGCTAGCAGAGATGAATGGATATGGCATTATAGACTAGGCCATCTCAACTTCAAAGACATCAGTGATTTGAAGAGAAGAAATATGGTTTCAGGATTGCCTGAAATTGATATTCCAAACGAAGTATGTGAAGAATGTGTGCAGGCGAAGCAACACAAGAATAACTTCAGCAAGGATGCAGGAAGCAGATCGAAGGCTAGTCTCGAAATCATATACTCTGATGTATGTGGACCAATCCAGGTGGATTTGATGAGAGGTAACAAATACTTTGTTACATTCATAGATGATTTCAGTCGAAAGCTATGAACTTACCTGATCAAGAAGAAAAGTGAAGTGATCAAAGTATTCACCAAGTTCAAGTCCATGGTCGAAAGACAAAGTGGTCGAAAGCTCAAAGTTTTGATAACTGATGGTGGAGGAGAATATGTGTCGAAAGACTTCGACAGATTATGTGAAAAGGAAGGGATTGTGCATGAGGTGGTGCCACCCTATACTCCACAGCAAAATGGAATTGCAGAAAGGAAAAATTGAACCATCATGAATATGGTGAGAAGTATGTTGAAAGGCAAGAATTTACCCAAAGAGTTCTAGGGTGAAGCTGTTTCGACTGTAACATACATTTTGAACAGAAGTCCTACAAAGAAGCTAGAAGGAATTACTCCAGAAGAATGTTGGTCTGGTGTGAAGCCTAGCTTGAGTCATCTGAAAGTATTTGGATCTATTGCACATAGACATGTGCCAGATCAGTTGAGAAAGAAACTTGATAACAAGTCAAGTCAAATGATCCTAGTTGGATATCATTCGACAGGAGGCTACAAGTTATTCGATCCAGAGAACAAGAAGATTGTGATCAGCAGGGACGTGATCATAGATGAGTTCAAAGAATGGGATTTGAATGCAAATGTCAAGAAAGATTCAGTGAGAATCTTATTCGAAGAGCCAGAAACTCAAGTCAAAAGAGAAGTTCGACAAGAGGAGCCAGCAGATATACCCAGTACAAGCAGACCTCAAAGAACAAGACGCATGCCTGCAAGATTGCAAGATTGTGTGATTACATCAGATGATGTAATAGATGATGAAGGTGAGCTGGTACATTATGCTTTCTATGCAGATGTCGAACCTGTTAATGCAGCTGAAGCATTAAAGGATTCGAAGTGGGTGAAAGCAATGAACGAAGAAGTAAAGTCTATCGAAGACAACAACACTTGGTCACTTGTCGAATTGCCTCAAGGCAAGAAGGCAATTGATGTCAAGTGGGTATACAAAGTGAAGACGAATTCGAAAGGTGAAGTAACTCGACACAAAGAAAGACTTGTGGCGAAAGGATTTCTACAGAAAGAAGGAATAGATTTTGACGAAGTTTTTGCACCTGTTGCTAGGATCGAAACAATCAGGCTGGTTGTTGGTCTAGCAAAAATCAACAGTTGGCACATATGTCAGATGGACGTGAAGTGTGCATTCCTAAATGGACCCTTAGATGAAGAAGTCTATGTTAAACAACCAGTTGGGTTTGTGAAACATGACGAAGAAAGAAAGTTGTACAGGCTACATAAAGCCCTGTATGGTTTGAAACAAGCTCCAAGGGCTTGGAATAAGAAAATTGATAGTTTTCTAAGGGAGAAGGAATTTGTGAAGTGCATAACTGAACATGGAGTATATGTAAGAAGAAGCAAGAGTAAATTGCTTATACTATGTCTCTATGTAGATGATTTATTGATAACAGGTAGCTGCAAGAGTGAGATCGAAGACTTCAAAGTTGACCTTAGCAAGGAATTCGAAATGTCTGATTTGGGTGAGATTTCATATTTCCTTGGTATCGAATTCTACAAGAGCAGTAGAGGTTTGATGATGCATCAAAGAAGATATGCAGGAGAAATTCTCAAAAGGTTTGAGATGGAAGAATGCAACGCAACTTCGACACCTGCAGAACCAAGACTGCAACTGTCGAAAGATGCTGATGAAGATGATGTTGATCCAACCCATTACAGAAGACTTATTGGATCATTGAAATACCTTTGTCATACAAGGCCTGACTTAGCATACAGCATAGGTATGGTAAGTAGATTCATGCAGAAGCCAAAGCTATCACATCTAGCAGCTGTGAAGAGGATACTAAGGTATCTTAAAGGAACTTTCGATTATGGCATTTTGTTTCCTGCAGTTGATAAAGGAAAAGAATGCAAGTTAGTGGGATACACTGATTCGAGTTGGTGTAGTGATGTTGAAGATCGAAAGTCAACAGCAGGATATGTGTTTATGCTAGGTGGTGCAACAATTGCTTGGAGTTCGAGAAAAGAACCAGTAGTGGAATTATCATCATGTGAAGCAGAATACATAGCTGCTTCTCTTTGTGCATGTCAAGCAACCTGGATGGTGAACTTGGTCGAAGAGATAACAGGGAAAAATCATGGAGCAATTACCATGAAGATAGACAGCATGTCAGCTATCAATCTGGCGAA